CTAATAGAGCCCACAGAAAAAGTAATAACCAGATAGGACTCAGGAGCATCCTCATTCACTTTCCTGTCCATAAAGGGCTAAACAAGCACAACACCAGGACCTTGGGGGGTGGGGGTGGGGATCCATTAGGTGGAACATACTCTACACACACCCCTGTTTTATGCCTTTCCCCCCATTCCCCAGCCATCAATATCCTGGTCCAAAGCTCGCTTGATGCTACTCCTCTGGCAAGGCTATCCCATCCAGTTCAGAACTAGATGCTCCATTTGTTCTCAGACCTCCCACATCACGTTGTTTGTGCTTTTACTTATTAGCACTTCTATCATTCCACCTCATCTGCTTCTTGTCTCCCTTCAGCAAAGGGATGATGGGGGCGGGTACAGAACAGGCTAAGCTCCCTTCTTTATTGACTCCTCCCCCATTTAGTCAAGTTCCCTGCACACAGAAAATGCAAAACCTCTACAATGCCAAGGAGTTTGCAATTCCCTACCTTTCTCCTAGTTAAAGGCACAACACGTGACACTCCCTAGAGTTCAAGCACCAGCTTCAGACCCCGGGCTGCCCCTCCGGTAGGTCACCACAGTATCTACCGTGACTCAGCGTAACAGAACACGGCAACAACGTTCTACATGATCTCCCCCTATGAACACCAGCCCTCGTTTCTTCTGGCTCCGGAGTACAGCAAGACAGGAGAAGGAAAGGGCCAGGCCAGGCCAGGCAAGAATAGGATTAAACTGACACCCTGTCTGAACTGGCTGAGAGGTCCCAAAGAAGTGACAGGAGTGGCAGGAACCAGCCTCGGCAAGCACAGTGGCAGGGTTTGAGGCCCCACTTCTCACACTCTAGACAAGAATTTTTGATGACGAGCTTCGATTCACCACTCCCAGGTCTTAAAAAAAAGTGATTAATACAAGCTGCTGGTAAAGTCCAATCTTCTGGGCCAGAGAACAAAATAAATTTAGAAGGAAAAAAAGAAGGAAAAGGAAAAAAAAAAAAAAAAAAACCCTTGGGGATAAGTGAAATGGAAGAGAATCAGGCAGTTAGTTGAACAATAACATCACCATGCACAGGGAAGAGCTGCTTATGGAAACCAGTCTACATGCTCCTACCGCTTCTACAGTCCTACTCTGTAGGTGAACACAGAGGGGAGTTCTCCTCTGTGATCTAAGGAGCTACTGGGGCAATCAGAAGCATCCATAACCCTACCCACTAATTTGTTGTCTTCCCTCATTCAACAAAATTCACCAAGGGTCTACCATGGCCCAGGCTGAAGACAGGCCCACCTGCAGACAGCACAAGCACCACCAAGTACAAGAGGTGATTACAATGTTCTCAAGAAGAAAATGCACTTAGAAAAATGTCGGGGGGGTTAGAATGGAGGGCCATCTTCCTCCTTGTTCCAGGTTTCATAAGAGGGGAAATCCACGCGGACACTTCTGGTCTCTCTCCACTCTCACAGGTTCTTTTCAGAAAGGAGACAACTATAGACACACGTCTATGAAAGGGAACAAAGCATATGTGGCTCTGTTCTCTCTCGTTCCCTTTGAGTCCCACCTGCCTGCTGCAGGAGCCCACGTTCTCCTGGCTCTTCAGGCTGTTACAGGGGCAGGTACCTCCATGAGGAGTAAGTTCCCTGCTTGGGTGCAAGATCAGCAAGTCTGCTTTATCATCCAACCCATAGCCAAACAAACCAGCCCGAGGAGTCCTGTAATAAAGACATTTTTATCTCCCGTTGGGAGTCTGTGACCTGGTTCTGAATTCAAACAGGATAGCAGGATAGAGAGCCATCACTTACAACAGCTTCTCTTTGCTAGGAGTGTTTGACTATCTCCTTTGCCCTCTCCTCCAGCTGCTGTCATGTATCCTTACAATACCTTGGTCATGGGCAGGTGTTTTTTTGTTTGTTTGTTTTGTTTTTTGTTTTTACTCTTTTGCAGGAGAGAAACTACAGAACCTGAACCTTGAATGACTTAGAGGCCATTTGATAGCCAGTTTGTTCATTGAGGATGGGAAATTCAGATTCCTTAACACAGATGTCATTTAGAGCATATAACTTTCCATTTGAAATCTTTAGGGAGGTGAAGTGCTGAATATTGCAAGTCATTTTTCTGCCACGTAAGAGAGACAAGTCTATTACATCTGGAATAGAAACACTACAATGTTTATCTACTCACTTTTTTAAATGCAGCTCTAAGGATGAAGCAAGCAGGAAAGGGAATGAGAACAAAGAGTAGGAATACCCTTCGCTTGCTTCGGGGCATTTCTACTCCATTCATGAACAATTCCTGCAGTCCTCTGAGTGCCAGGCACCAACCTTGGACTACAGAGATGAATAAAACACTGTCCATGATGAGTCCACTTTTTCTGTTCCCTGTATAATAACGCAATCTATTTCTGTTAAAAACATCACCTCACGGACACAATCATCTATACAGTCTGTCCATGGAGAATGGATTACTTTGTGGTTTCTGCGTGCTACCTCCTCCCTGGTGGCCCTAGTTTTTCCAGCTATTTGGGGTAATTTACTACAATTTTTTTTTTTCAAAAAAGACAATGGATGTAAATATAATCCCAACCTGAATGCAGACCATGCATTCTATGGCTGGAAGGTACAACTCTAAGCTGCCCAATTGCCCATAAATGCAAGGCATGGGTCGCAACCAGGCTAGGGAATAGAAACAGGATGTCGTAATGAAATTCAGAGAAGAAAACACAACCCAGGGTGGCCATAAAACATAGGACACCTCTTTATCATCTTAAACTCAAGGCTACAGGTTCAACAAAATGAATCAGCTCCCTATTTGTTCTTAACACTTTTAATACTTCTAACACTTTATATTTAACACAAGGTCAAGCTTACTTAACCAAACAGGTTACACATGATAAAATAAAACACCTTCTAATTTGCTAATTAGACTTATGTGAATAAGTGAAAATTCAGAACACAAAACATGCCAAATAGTAAACCTTTTTTTTTTTTTTAAAGGATGGGAATACAAAAACATTTACTAAGGATCTATGTTCTAAGTACCCTCCTATAAGGCCTCTCCTTTATTAAATCCTCTCAACTCTCCTAGGAAGTAAACAGTAGTGTGTCCTTTTTCCCAGACTCAGAAACTAAAGTTCAGATGTTAAGTAACACATATTGTATTTCCTATTCCAGTTCCTCTGGCAAAATTCCTTCTCCCAATCAATGTTTCTCAATGAACTTAGGGACATGGGTTGTTACCTAGTTTGGGGTTGTGAACTTTGCATGGGATGGCCATGCACTGAGGGACATACAGCATCCCTGGCCTATGGACAAAAAATAGGAACAACAGTCCCAATATATCCCAGCCATGAGCTAGGAAGTTCAAGACTCCCTGGATGAGGACTGCTCTATCAGATTCTTTGAGTATCAGGACTAAAAACTGAGGAGAGGGGAACTTCCTTTAAGAGTCTCTCCTACCTTCAAATCTCTCAGAAAGTCCTTGATTTTATGACACCTGGGCTAAGAAAGCCCCATGCACACTTATGGAGTCAGTTACAAAAGTGGCCATGAGTTTATTTCCCATACATTCCATAAAGCATTTACTGAGTACCTACTAAGGGTCTGGTACTGTGCTACTGGCTGGGAATATAAGGTCCCAAGCCCCAAGGGGTTAGTTTTATACTCCAGTGAGAGATTAAGTTTGGAGATGTTAAAATAGGTGTAACCACAGGTACTAGGGAAGCTCAGTGCAGAAGCCCCTCCCATAGACTAGGGCAAAGAGCTGGAAGGCAGGGCTGAGTCAGGTTCGCAGAGGAAGTGAAGTTTTCCCTGAGCCTTTAAAGATCAGGTGAGAGCAGCCAGGAAGAGCCCAGTCTAGGCTGAGCAAACAGCCTTCGCAAAAACTGAGCTAGGAATCCTATTTGCAGCCAAACTTTAAACTACTTCCTTCATTCCTCAAGTGGAAACCTCATTGTGATTCAAACTCAGGATCTCCTGTTTACTAGACAAGCACTTGAACCAATAAATCTCTACAAAATAAAATAAGCCTCTGCAGTCCACGTGTACTTCATTCCAAAGCCCTTGTTTTTGCAAGGTCTGCCTTTGCTGGTATAATAACCCATCAGACAAGAAATATGACTAATTTTATACTTCTTACAGCAAGCAGGACATTCTTTTCAAATGCACTGTGGACTGGCAACCATGGGAGTGTCCCTCACTTGGGAACACAGAAGAGTGAAGAGAAAAAGACGATAATCAAGGTCAGCTGAAGGGTGAGGCAGAAGGAGTGCCAGCAGGTCAACTTACCCTTGACCTGAAGCTCAAGATGATCCTTATCCTCTGTTAGCTTTTTTCACTCATATGAAGCCTTGTTTCACTTACCATCAACTGTACCAATGCACGAAGCCTGATTCTCACATTATTATATTTGCACAGGAAGCTTATTTTGGCTATTTTTTCAAAACCATGTATGCTATATATGTAATATAGAAACTATATATGTGAGTATATTAATAAATAGGTAACTAAAAGTAGCCAACTGGGAAACTCTGAACCTCAGCCCAAAGGCAATAGTTTTTTGAGTTAACGTGCTGAGCACAGAAACTGGGTTGTTGCCACTTCAGGTGGTTAAATAATTATGAAAGCAGGAGTCAGAGTAGTTCAATTGTTCTCTCCTGGGGCAGGAAGGGGTGAGGGAAGCAAGCCCTTGTGGCTCCCTCTTGCCTCCAGCCTGCAAGGAACGGGCTCATTTCCCCTTGGCAAGGAGCCAGATGCGGTAGGCGGGCATGCCCTCATTTTCCTGCCCCAGTTCCCCTCTTACCTGAGGCACACTCAGGAACCATAACTCTGCAGGTAACTTCGGTCCCATAATTATTGCATTTTTATCATTCAGGCACACTTTGACCTCCAATTTGACATCACAAACACATCTGGTCCACGTATATTTCCCCATAAATTACCCTGCACACAAAAAAGTCTTGTGTTCCAAGGTAAGATATTCTGAAGTAAAACTTCGGGATCCCTCACAAACCTCCTGTCCCTGCTTCCAACCAGGAGGTTCAGGAGAGGCAGTATCGTAGAGCTCCAACCGCAAAGCCAAAAGGCCAAAATCACACTAGAAAAAGAGGAAGGTATCTTCAAAGGAACGGATTCACCCCAACGGAAGAGGCTGGCTAGTCTTTTTTATTCCTGGCTGATTCCATTTCTTTTTTGTAAACTTTGCTAACCCCGGGATGGTGGTATAAACAGAGACAGGTGTAGGGGCACCTCCACCCTCTGAGTACATCCGCTGCTACCGCTGTCGGGTGCGCATGATAGGGGCCCTGGACCCAATCGAAGTCCATGCTTCCCGATGACGCACCCGGCCGGGGGTCCTCTCCCACGTGGGGGGAGGGGGTGTTACAAAATGGGCATTCCCAGTCCTGCGGCCACCCAGCCCGCCCCGGTTAGAGGGGACAGCGAAAGGGACACCTCGGAGCTGAGACCTCATGCCCGTCTCTCCGATTTTCCCACTTCCAGCACATCGTTTCGCATCAGGGGTACTGTTTGCCTCCAACCCCAAAGTCCTGCGCACCTACATGTCTTTCTAAAGCAACTGAAGAAAGCGTCTCTTCGCCTTCCGGGACTCAGGTGAGTGCCAAGAGGTGTAGGAGGAAAGGGCCCGCTCGCCACCACCCTCTTTCCTCTCCTCCCCACGTTCCCCAGGATTCATCAGGGATGTGTGTAGTGGGGTGCGCGGGTTAAGAGGGAGCTTAAAATGCCCAAGCGTCCCTTACCTTCCACAGCCATTCTCCTAGAGCTTCCCTAACGCATGCATAATTTTCTCGGCCGAGGTACTCCTCCTGCCCCGCGCTCCCCCCTCCTCGCGCTTTCGCCTAAATATTCTGCGCTCATCTGCTCCAGGACCAACCTGCCGCGGTCACGCAAAGCGAGGCTGCCGGCTTGGCTCGGCGCAGGGCGGCCCGGGAAGTGTAGTTCTCTCACTTCCCTCCGACCCGCGAGAGCACCCCGAATCCTCCGCGGGGAACTGCTCCGTCTCCACACTCAGACGGCAGCTCCGGCCTCAGCCCGCCTAGGCAGAATAATCCCTCCTGGGGGGCGTCTCGCGGGCAGAGCCATCGACCCCCGGACGTGGCGAGGACTACATTTCCCAGGATGCCGTGCGCTGGGTTTCGTTCGGCGCTGAATAGAGACCCGAAATTGAGCTCTTCGCGGACAATTGGAAGTGGGTAAGCACCTGGCAGGCAAGGGTCGTGCGGAGGGCAGGGGGTAGCTGGGTCTGTGGTGGAATCTTCTGGGCCTGTTCGCCGGCGTGCTTGGCCAGTCATTTAGTAAGGGGAGCAGAGCTCCGGCTGGCAGTGGTTCCCGCCTGGGCCAGAGAGCCGCTGCCCGGGTGCGGTTCAAACTTGTTCCTCTGCGCCCTGGATTACGCGGGATTCTGGAGAAAACCGCCAGGTGACGTAGCCGTCGTCTAATCCTCCAAGTTGTACAGGTGTATAAACACTTAAAACGGAGTGGGGGATGGCTTGAAAACACTGAACAGGCATCAGCCTCAAGGGGTTATTGAGAACCAAATCCCACCTGAGGATGTCAGATGATGGAAGGCTGTCTTGCTTCCCAACTAGGAGGCTTTCAGCTTGTTTGGCCTGGAAGCCAGTTGACAGTCTGTGGTAGGGCCTAATAATTAACAGCGCCTAAGAATTAGTGTCCTTTCAACTTCTGACCCTGTGTCCTAACTCCAGGTGTTGGGTTGCTATAAGCAGACAGGGGAAAGAAGCATGTGGAGGGCAATAGAATTCCAGAGCTGGTAAATACTGATAAAAATGACGTTCCCAGGCTCTTTTCTTTTCTTTTCTGTTCTTTTCTTTTCTTTTCTCTTTTCTTTTCTTTTCTTTTCTTTTTTCTTTTCTTTTTCTTGCATGTAGAAATGTAGATGCAGTTATGGCTGGTAGAGATAAGGGAAGGGTCCTGCGGAAAAAATCTGATTCAGGACTGCAGTAAGACTTTTAAAGGTCTTGAGCTTGAAAGTTGCAATGGTTCTATATCGTTAGATATATCACTATCCCTATCTATCTAAAAACTACTCTGGAAAATAAGGAAGTATAAAGATTTGATTCTTCCCAAAAGATGACTAGTTAGATTTTGTCTTGGTCATAAATTTTTTTTAAATAATTTTGTTTCTGAGGGTGTACATGCACACCTGCTTTTCTGGTCATGAAGTATGTGCCTAGTCCTGCTATCTGGTAATATGACTGTGTCTGGGTCCTTTTTTTTTTTTTCCTTTTATTTTCCCCTCCCCCTGTGTCTGGGTACTTTTAGAATACCTGTGTGTAACCATTAAATGCCGTTGGTGATACTTTAACTGTGAGTCCGTAGAGCTGTGTGCAAATCAAACCCAAGATTTCCATCTTTGGTGCGGTAGCCAGAGACCTTTTCAGTGAGACACAGTGGGTATTTGCCATTGGTAAAATCATTTTTCCAACTTAATATGCAACCAAGCATTTTAAAATCTGGGAGGAACAAGGGGCACCTGGATGGCTCAGTTGGTGGAGCACACAACCCTTGATCTCAGGGTTGTAAGTTTGAACTCCATGTTGGGTGTAGAGATTACTTAAAAAAATATATGGATGGAAGTGAAATCTGGGTGTTTCTCTCCCCTTTCATGTATGTAACATCACCAAAGCATTAAGTTTTTCCTTAGAATGTTTGGGAAAAAAAAACCCAATGGGCAGGCAATATCAGTGGTTCTTGACCTTGTCTGTGCACCAGTCTTTTCCAAGCACACATTTTAAAGCTTCAAGTTAATCTCACAGAATCTGGATTTCTGAGTGTTTGTATAGGGACAATTAAGTTTTAAAAACCCACAGGTGATTCTATGTGCAGTGAAGGTGAAAATCATTGGTCTGTTTTTAAGCTTTTAAGGATCTGGGCAATACTAAAATGTAAAAGTCCCTGGGAGCACCTGGGTGGCTCAGTCGGTTGAGCTTCCGACTTCGGCTCAGGTCATGATCTCAAGGTTTGTGAGTTCAAGCCCCCCTTCGGGCTCTATGCTGACAGAGCCTGGAGCCTGCTTCAGATTCCATGTCTCCCTCCCTCTCTGCCCTTCCCTCACTTGCACCCTGTCTCTCTTTCTCTCTCAAAAATAAATAAGCATTAAAAAATAAATAAGAGTCACTGAAATCCATTTTTAATTTAAAAACTTTATTTCAACTCAAATATTTAAGACCTTTCTCAATTGATGTGCATTCTTGTTTAAGTTTCACTTTTAGTATAAGATGTGAAGGAAGTATTAATTTAACCAATAAAAAATACCCAATACTGAATTCTTTTTTTTTTTTTAACCTAGAAATAGAGCAGTATCATATTGTTCAACCTAATGAAGGACAAGCAGAAGTTAACCTGGGGTTTTCAATTCTGGTTGATCATCTGGGGGGGTAGGGGGAAACAATTCCCACTAGAATGGCCAAAAGGAAAAGACAGAAAATACCAACTCTTGGCAAGACTGTGAGGCAGTAAGAACTCATAAATACTGCTGTTGTTGTGCAAATTGGTGCAACCACTTTGGAAAACCATTTGGCTTATTAAGTCAAATATACGCTTATCCTGTGACCCAGTAGTTCCTCTTATAGGTGTATAGCAGACAGATATGCATACACATCTCCAAAAGACATATACAGGAATGTTCATGGCTATATTATTTGTAATAGCTACAAACTGGAAACAGCCCAGATGTTAATCAACACTAGATAAATGAGCTGTGGTGTAAACAAACCAACCTGTCCTGCAGGTGAGCAGACCATGCCCCATGGACCAAATATGGCCTGCTGCCTATCTCTGTCTTGTTCATGAGCTAAGTTTGGATTTTACATGTTTAAATGGTTGGGGGAAAAAGAAGAATATCTTGTCACTTGTGAAAATTATATAGAAGTACCTACATAATAACTTCAGTTTTGCTTTTTGGCCTGTTAAACTTAAAATATTTCCTATCCCTTACAGAAAAAAAGTTTTAGCAAATTCTACAATAAAGTAATGGAAATGAATGAATTACAACTGCGTACAACAACAAAGATAAACCACATGCATTAGGTGTCTATTGCTGGTGACAAATCACTGCAAAATTGAGTGGCTTATAATAACACCCTTTTATTACCTCAGTTTCTGTGAGAAAGAGATTTGGGCATAGCTAAGCTGGAATTTCTGCTTCACGGTTTTTTGTTTTGTTTTAATTTTTTGAGATAGAGGGAGAGAGAAAGAGCACACCCATGCAAGCCAGGGAGGATACTAGCCAAAACCAAGAGTCAGCTTTAACCTAGCCAAAACCAAGAGTCGGATACTTAACCAACTGAGCCACCGAGGTGTCCCATTTCATGGTCTCTTACAGGTTGCAATCAAGGTGTTGCCTGGGCCAAAGCTGAAGGTCAACTTGGGAAGCTTAAGCTTCCAAGTTCACATGGTCGTTGGTGGAACTCACTTCCTCACAGGCTGTTGGATGGAAGGCTTCAGTTCTTTGCTGGCTGTTGGCCAGAGGCCGCCCTTAGTACTTTGCCACAAGAGCCTTTCCAACACGGCAGGCTGCTTCATTGAAACACACAAGCTAAGAAAGGAAAATAGAGTTTGCTAACAAAATTAAAGTCACAACCTTTTGTTACTTAATCATAGAAGTCCCATCCCCTCAATGTTGCCATGTTGTCATCTATTGGTTAGATGTAAGTTACTCAAGGGGAAGCCATAAATATCAGGAGATTGGATCATTGGGAGTCATCTTAGAGCCTTCCTACCACAACACACAGGTAAGATGCTGAACTAAAAAAGCCAGACGAAAAGAAGTACATTTGTGTGATTCCATTTTATGTAAAATTCAAAAACTGGACAAAATCTATGGCATTAGAAGTCAGGGTAGTGGTTCCCTAAGTGTGTGTGGGGGGGAGTATAAGAGCAGGGAATGGTTAGTAACTGGAAGGAAGGCCCATGAGGGCATCTGGAATGCTGGGGTATTGTGATTCTTCAACTGTCCGCTGTTTAGACATGTGTATAATGTTTGTGAAAGGTATTAAGCCATATGTATCTGATTTGTGAAGTGTGTATGTGTGTGAGAGATACTCCAGTGAAAATTGATAAGTAATGTATGCTTAGATTCAGTTAAACGTGATAAATGACCCATTCATCAGCCACTCTGATTATCCATGCCTTCTCTTTCTTTGCCACAGTAAAATGGGGGTTGATTCCATTCCATTTAATAAGTTATGTTTTGAGGACCTACTAAGTACTAGGTCCTTGTCTAGATGTTTGTAATATATGGCAGGCTGAATTTCTAGAAATGGCCCTTAAGATTCCATACCATTAT